CCTCTTCTTCTTTATCTTCTTCTTCTGGTTTCTCGAGACTGGGTTTCTCTGTATTGTTTTGGAGACTGTCCTGGAACTAGCTTTGTAGACCAGGTCACAGATAACCACCTGCCTCTGCCTCCCGTGTGCTGGGATTAAAGGTGTGCTCCACCAATACCCGGCTGCCATGTCCAACTTCTATATGATAGTTTTACCTTCATTGTATTATGTTTTATTTATTTATTTTTTTTATCATGTTTGGTTGTTATCTCTTGGAAGCCTGTTTGGGGATCCAGAGGATAGAGGAGGTGGGGAGAAACTGGGAGGAGTAGAGGGAGGGGAAACTATAGCCAGGATATATTTATATTCAATAAAAGGAAAACAATATTTCCAGCAGCTTGTAGTACATTAGTATAAAGAATTCCTTGTGAATATAATATGCAGGAACTGATGGCTTCATTTCCAAGTTATTAGGGAACATTTCCAAAACATAAATGCAATTCCACAGCCCAGCATTTGCCTACTCACTGTATTTCAGAGGAGAACCTCTATATTTTATATATACTTTATTATGATTTGAGTGATAGCTAACAATATAACTGTTCTTTCATATAAAAAGTGGAAGAGATTCAAAACTTTGAATGATTTATGCAGGGTGTATTTAGAAGCTGGATACCTACTTATAGTGAAGGTCTGGGATGAGGTAAGATCATAAACCACCCTGTGTAGTCACTGTCCAGGGTCTGGAATTAGGTAAGCTTTGGGACAGGCCACAAACCACTCCATGCAGTCACTGCCCAGGGAAGTACTATGCCTAGAAAATTGCAAATATGTGTTTTACTTGTTGGTTGGGACAGGGCCATTCAATGTGGCTGAAGTGATGGGGCTTAGAGGCAGGACACAGATTTATAGGCCCCTACCCTGGAAGTTGAGTGTGGCCTTCAGCTAGCAACAGTGGTGAATAGCTATGTACTGATGTAGAGAGCCATTACTTGTGTAACATTTTTGATCAGGTATTGATCAGAATGAATACAGAGATGCTGTTTTTGTGATAAAATTAGAAGTTTTCAATGAGCCCCACCATGAACAGGTACTTAAAGAAGGCATAAGGGAAACAGAGAGTGGGATAGCCCACACCTGTAACCTCAGTACAGTGAAGGTTATGGCAGGAGAATTTTAGGTCAAGGACAACCTGGGCTGCACAGTGAAAGTTTGCCTCAAAAGGAGAGGAGAAAGTTGTTAAGAGGTATTCAAAGTAGCTTGTAAATTGGGCTTCATTAACTCCTTTCTTGGAGATTCCAGTTTTCCAACATGATGAGGTTCCTCCAAGTTCTCACTGTTGCTAAGTTTGTCTCAGGGTCAGAGTAGGCAGGAAGCTGGTTTGAAATGGAAAGCAGGGACAGAGTGAGTGTAGCTTTCTAGTTTAGATGTGGGAAGATGGAGAAGATGTTTCTATCACTCAGAGTCGATACGTCTGATGGTACTTCCCTCCCTAAAGTGCAAGGAGCAAGCATCTCAAAGGTCAAGGTTTCTTATCAAAGCAACAGAAGTAACTAAGACAGGGAGCTTTATTTCATTTTAAAAATTAATGTATTTCCATTTCTATTATTTAAAAAAAATTTAGTTTTGTTTTAGGTGCGTGGGTGTTTTGCCTGCATGTATGTCTGGGTACTGCGTGCATTCAGTGTCCACGGAGGCCAGAAGAGGGCACTGGGTCCCCTGAACTGGAGTTATAGATGGTTGTGAGCTGCCATGTAGGTGTTTGGAACTGAACCTTGGTTCCCAGAAAGAGCAGCAAGGGCTCATAACCACTGAGAAATTTCTTAAGCATCTTCAATTTATTTTTAACTGATGCATAAAAGCATAAAGTTACACATAATCACAGAGCATATATATGCTTTAGGATGTTACATCACTGTAAACATTCTCCTGAAAAGTCGTTTCTCTATGAGAATGACACTGAAAACCCTTTCTTTTGGAATTACTTGAAATACACAATGTGTTATCTGCCTTCACTTTACAGCTGTTAACAGCACAGCAGCACTTCCCGCTGTCCTTACTGCAGCTCCATCCTGTGACCGCATGCTGACTCTTTACTTGGGCAATGGCTTCCCTTGCTCTACAGAGCCCTTCTTGGACTGCTGTATCCCATTTGTCTAATTGCTTTCTTTCCTGTGTCTGTGGGGTGTGGTCCAACAATTCCTTGTCCATCTCAAGGTCCAGAACTGTTGCCCTATGTTTTCTTTTTCTTTTTTTCTTTTGATAGACTCCATATTATATTTTTTATTACTGGACAAATCATTCCCAATTTAAGCATGACCAAATCTGCAGCTTAATAATCTTGATATCCATCCACCTGGCAGATAGATCATGTTGATCATGATTCAGTACAAACTCTGTCTTGCCATTGTGTGAATCCTTCCTTACAGGCCCAGCTTGGTTCTCCTCCAGTGTAAGGAGTATGGCTTTTCTGCCTACCGCCACTCTTGTCCCGCCACCACGCCTGCCCCAATTAATACACAGAGACTCTGTATTTGATATAATGCTGTTGGCCTGGTTACTTGTTTCTTATCAGCTAGCTCTGTCTTAATTATTAACCCATTTCTGCTGATCTATGTATTTCTCTTGCAGGCCGGCATACTGCTTTCTCCCGACTCTCCATTTTGGCTCCTCCTTACTACTTCCTCTTTCCTCCTTGTCTCCTAGTCCCTCCTATCTTCCTTTCCTATTGGCCAACAGTGCTTTATTCATTAACCACTATGAGAAACATACATAATGGCATCTCCCATCACTCCAGTGTCTTCTCTTGGAGTTGTACCTGATTTTGTTTCCGGTTTTCATCTGAATCCACTGAGGAATAGGACAATTTTGCTTTTGTTTCTTGGCCAGGAATCGCTTGATTCTGAAAGTCCTGTGAGAAGACATGGTGAGAATCTGAGTTAGGCGTGTGCTGCACGATGGTGGAGAGGACTGCCCTATGTTTTCTTATAGTAGTTTAGTAGTTTTAGTCCTGATACTGAAGACTTCAGTGTTCTTAGAGTTGATTTTCATCCTGGCTCAAGAGAAGGGGCAGTATAGCTTTATTTTATTTTTTTTAACATGTGAGAAAAAAGAACTTATTTTCCATCAAACTCCCTAGGATCATCAATTGAAAAGAGCCTTCTTCATCCAGAGCATCTTCTTGGCCACCCCTTATCTGCTCACTGCACATGCTTTCGTTTTTCTGGGCACTCTGTCTGTCTCTGTGGGTCTGTGGTTCTGGTTTTTGCTGCCATACCATGCTGCTGTGTTACTAGGACTCAGTAGCATGTTTTGGAGTATAATGGCCCCTGTTTTGTACTTTTTACTTAGAACTATTTTGTCTACTTGCTTTTTCTGGGTTTCATACAGATGTGAAGGTTATTTTTAACTGTGAGGAATATTATAAGAATTATGGCAAGATTGCATTGAATCTGTAGATATTTTTGTGTGGTATAGATATTTTAAAAATTTAAAAGAATATTTAACATAATTTCTTTATTCCTTCTTGGGAATTTCACATCATGTACCTCAATTTGTATCTGCTTATCTGCTTCTTACTCCTGTAGTGTCCCCCACAAATGAAAATTAAAAAATCCAAACCAAACCAAACCAAATTAAAAAAAAAAAAAAAACAAGACCAACCCCCCCCCCCAAAAAAAAAACCAAACCAAAAAAACCAACCAATAAACCCTCTTTACTCCTCTGTCTTTCCTGACTCTCCAACACTTCTGCATTCCTCCTAGTGACATTGGGAGCCATGGTGTGTACACAGTCTACCTTTTGTGTAATCAGCTTTACTTGCAAATATTCATTGCAATGACTTTTGGTCTGATTTCAAGGCCTCTGGTTTCTGGTACAGCATCATGAGTGGATGCTCACCTAAATTCCTCCCAGATATCCTGAAGCCATCTGAGTCATGGAGATCATGTGGGTATCTTTCCATGGGACTACTCTCTTCATGGGAACTACTACCCCTAGATGGGGTAGATGTTAGGGAGGACCAATCCAAGGCCCAGCTGTAGGCCTGGGTGGTAGTTGAGCCACTAGGGCCACCCTGCCTCAGGCAGAGAGCACTGGATCCATGCCATCAGGGTCACTTTGCCCTAGCCTGTGGTGAGGGGTGGGACCAAGTGTGGGGGAAGGGGAACAGCTCTCCAGTGAGGATTAGGGCCTTGCTGCAGTTTCCATTGAGGGGCAGGGCCAGCTTTTCCAGGGCCAGAAAGGGTGGGCTGGCTCAGCATGGCCCTCTGATTTCATCATCCATGATTCCTATGACCCCCTGTGGGTAGTATAGACATTTACACAATATTCTTCTAATTCATGAATTCATGAAGAATGTTTTTTCGTTGTTTGTATATATTTAAATATGCATATATATTTAAGACATGATCTTATCATGATCAAGTTATGTAGCACTTGCTATGTGAGCAGTCTTGCCCTGGATTCACATAGGTTGGCCCTCCTTGGCCACCAAGGTGCTTGGATTAAAGAAGCACACCATTACACTCTGCAATGTTTTATAGTTTTTATTGTGGAGATCTTTAACCTTTGGTTAAATTTGTTCCCTAGTTAATTAATTTATCTGTGAAATCAGTCTCGCAGTGATTGTGAGATTTCTTCTTTTATTTCCATATCAGGCAACTTGCTATTGTCATATAACAACACTATTGATTCTTGTGTGTTGGTTTTGCGACCTAAAAGTTTGCTCAGTTGTTTATCAGTTTCAGTAGCTTCTCTGGTGGGAATTCTGATTCTTGTGGACAATATACAGAGATTCATGTGTAGATCCATGCAGTGTGGGGAAGATGAGTGGGTGAGGAAATGTGGGTCCAGACGTAGAGGCAGCTGTGCCACTGGAGCATCTTGGTATGCCTTCATCTGCAGAATGTGCTATTGGGTGGTTCAAATCAACCTCAGTATGGCTGTAAATGGGAGGCTGGTCCTGTATGGCACTGGGTCGTGGCATTTGATGGTGTGGTCAGGTGAGAAGCCTGATACAAGATTTTTGTGAGTGAGTAGAAAGGCAAGGAAGTAGAAAGCGTTGTGTGGTTGATTCTTCTAAATCACAATAATACAGAATGCAAGTTAGTGATGAAATGCTTCAGGTCTTGTAATTAAGGTAACAGGACACAGCGGATACTACAAAAAAGGAAAAAGAAAAACAAAACATCAATCAATTTCTGGAGCAACATATGCTTTGGATTAAAATCCTTGTGCTTTAGATCTATAAGCTAGAGTGTCTTCCCTTGAGATTGGATAAAAAATGGGCAGGTTAACAAACTTCGAGAAAACTGAACAAAATAGCATGCAGTTCTCAGGGTACTAAAGGAGGTGAGGAGTTTTAAACTGTGAAAAATGCTGATTCCATTTATGGTTAATTTCTCTTGGGGAGATTAAAGAGGTGTTAGAATTAGTAATCTTATAGACAGGCCCCACACAGAAATAAAACTGTGACAATGACAAAAATGGCCTCTTTGTAAAATGGGCTCAATATTTCTTTCCATGTTCTTATTATTCTGGAGAGGAGTGGGGAATAGACATGAGCCAAGGTGTGCATAAGGAAGGCAGAGGACAGAGGACAGCCTTGTGGAGCCAGTTCCCTCCAACCACATTTAAGTAGATGCCGGGATTAGATGTTCATCCTGTGGCAGGTGCTTTTCTTCTCTTTTCTTTTCTCTTTCTTTCTTTCTTTCTTTCTTTCTTTCTTTCTTTCTTTCTTCCTTCCTTCCTTCCTTCCTTCTTTCCTTCCTTTCTTTCTTTCTTTTTCTTTCTTTTTCTTTTTTCTTTTTGCTTGCAGAGGCATTGAGGCATTTCTTTAGCTCTGTAAACTATGTTCCTAAACTTGGACCACACCTTCAGGGGATGGCATCTTTAGTTCTGTGTTGTGTAAAGTATAATGCTAAAGATATTTGCTACCTTAGTATTTGAAGGATCACATATTTTATAAATCAGCAATAAAGCAAAATTTGGAGGGCAAGGGGAGGCTTTGAACTCCTGAGAGATCTTTTGTCTGTGCAGCATCTGTAGCAATGACAACCTCTCTGTCCCCATACACACACCCAGATTAGAAAGGACTTTTACCATTGCCCATTTTTCATTAGCTGAATTGCTTCATTGACCTTGTCAAGAGTCAGGGTATGGGTAATCAGTGGATCTAGGTTAAACTTCTTTGCCATACAGTCTGAAACCAGCTTAGGTATTTCATCCTTGGTTTTCCAGCCTGGAGATACAAAAAAGCACACAGGTTTATGAAAGATTCTACTCATGAGGTTTTATTATAAAAGAAAGGCCATGTGGGGATGGGGTGTGGATTTGACAATACCATATACATGCATTTGAAATTCTCAAATCATAAGAAAAGAGATTAAGGAAAAAGGGAAGGAAGGAAAATAGGAAGGATGACAGGAAGAAAGAAAGGTCATGTTAAACTACTAGCTGTTTTGCTCTCCCATCAATTTGTCCCATCAGGACAGATGCTATTCCAACCAGATAGCCCACACTCATGGTTGTACTCTTCCCAAGAACCTCTGTGCCTTGGACATAGAAGACATAATCAAAGCCAACAGAAAGTACATCACATCTTGCAATGTCCCTGGTGTTAGGTTATAATCTCTGTAGATCAGTGAATTCAAACCAAATATATAACAAAGGCCATAGTCTTGGGATGCAGAAATGAATGAAAAGGTTAGAAGGAGGGGCTGGGGAAGTGCTCCAGTTGGGAGAATACGTGGCTGTGTGCATGAGGCTCTAGTTTTTATCTTCAGCACTGCACGCTCTAAAAGCATAGAAATGGCTTCCCCCTCCATGTGTGTGCGCGTACACATGTGGTGCATGTGTGTATTTGTGTGTTTTGACATGCAGCTTTATAGACAAGTCAAACAATCTATGGTACCTTGGCCAGTGAGTCACAACCAATGTTTTCTGGCCTCCTGTATGGAAGAGGAAAGCATAGTGTAGCTGCAGGGTGTGATCTGTATCCTGCCTAGTGCCTTCCACTCATAACTTTGTGATGGGATTTTGTTAGCTGCTTGATTTTCTCTGAAGAAAAAAAAAAAGATATGACTGGAGAGGTGGCTCAGTAGTTAAGAATCCTGGATGCTCTTCCAGAGGACATGGGTACCATTCCTTATGCTCATGGGTCAGTTTACAACTGTCTGTAACTTTAGTTTCAAGGTATCTGACACCCTCTTCTGGCCTCCATGGGTACCAGCCATGTATGTGGTATAGACAAATATGCCACACATATAAAAATAAATAATAATTAAAAATAAAGATGTGCTCAATAGCACAGTCTTATAAAAGAGAGAGAGAAAAAAGATTATTTTCATTATTACTACCTACTACCGTGTGTGTGTGTGTGTGTGTGTGTGTGTGTGTGTGTGTGTGTGTGTGTAGTACAGGTGCTATAGGAGGCCAGAGATACTGAATCTCCTGAAGCTAGTGTCATATCATGTGGATGCTAAGAACTCTGGTCCTTTGCAAAACAGGCATGCTTAGAACTGCTGAGCCATCTTTGCAATCCTCATGCTTGCCTTTCTTCATTCCATTGGGTTCTCTAGTTTTTCTACCTATTCTTAAAACTGCCCCAACCTCTTCCAACTGAACTCTATATGTAACCACAAATTCTAACTATTGTTATTTGCTGCAGCCTTGTTTATTTTTCTTTTGTTTTTATTGGTGATCTAATGAAGTATTTTTGTAGGTATGCCAAAATACTTGCTGCAATTTATTATTTTAGTGGGAGACTATTAAGAAGCTGTACACCAGCTAAATTATATAAATGTCCACTGGGATTCCTTCAGGTATATTTTCAACTATTAGTAGTCATTGTCAAAGCAGTATAATATCTTATTCCAGAGAAATGAGCTGTCACTATCTCAACTCGAACATATGAAAAATGATGGATTAATAATTTTCAAGGAATACTATCAAAGGGAGGGTGCTTTAGTAACAGACAAATGCAAATACTCTTATCCAGAGAAATAAATCATTTCATGGAATGCTTTACTTTCCATCATTTAAAATATAAAAACTTTAGAAGACTTAAACTTAAAGCTGGGGCACAGTGATTGATTTCAATACTGTTGAAGTTTGGGAAGCTTTGAATCTAGGACTTCGGCAATTGACATGGAATATTCTGTTACTGAGCTATATCCCCAGCACCTAGACACTTCTGCATTGTTTGCTTGTTTTACAAGTCAATAAAAAAACTCATCTTTTTCCTTTCCCCCTCCTAGCATGAAATAAAGCTTATGAAAGGACAGAGGGCATAGCCAGGACCCAGTTCTTAACTTGGGTTTTCAACAAGAGCTGCAATCTAGAATTGATTGATGCATTTTTTTAGGCACCTCTGAGCCATTTTTCTATTTCTTCCTTCTAGCTCCTCATTCTTAGTATTTAGTTTCTTCTGGACATACCTCCCAAAACTGATCCTTTCAGAGTTCGTCCTGAGAAGAACAACTGGCTACTAATGTTGATTTGAACCCAAGATGCAATTGATCCAACAATCACGCAGACACCATGGTCCTTGTGGCAGGAGGCCAGGGCAGTTTCCTGTTGTAAAGCAATGTAAGACAGAAAAAAAGATAAAATCACCTACTTAAGAGTTTGACCCACTCTTAGTCAGCTCCATGCGAAATGAACTTTGACTTCAATTATGATCAGTATTATGAAGATGTTCTACAACATAGGTAAGATATTGTTTCTGCCTAGAATAGTACTTGGCATTTTAGGATTCAACAAATTGGGTAAAGATGGAGATCATTATAGACCATTGTGGTAATAAAAATGACAGTAATTTTTCTAAGGACTGTGATGTGGGCTGTTGGTTTGAGTTGATGTTTTTCTTTTAGATATCAGAAGGGTCAGTCACATAATTGTTTCATATGGCATGCTAACAAAGTGATCACTGCTATCTTCCATTAGTTATTTTCAAAGGCTATTTCTCAGAACAAGGCTGGGATAAAAGCTCTTCTGTCTATAAGAAATTCTGAATTATGGGAAAAAGACCCAGGTTGGAAGGGACTCCTCTTGGCTTTCTATGTAACTTCTTGGAAGATGGATCCATGCAGCCATAATGCATCATTCCTTCAAGACCAAAAGAAAGCTCCCCTCAGAGTTTGGTGTGACTGCCTTTCATGTTTATCTTCATATGTTAAGCTTGTTCAGGCAGAAAAACCACCACTCTTTTCTTTATTTTTTGGAAATGACCCATTTAGTCAAATGAGGCCATTCTTTTCTTGGTTCGGAAGCTCACATCTAACATGAAAGATTTCTACTGAAAGTAAAGAGCTCATTGTTCTATATGACAATAGTGGAGCCTTATCTCACTTAAGTTTTCTGGCTTGAAAATTATAGTCATTTCAGGCTATCTGTGGTCATGTAATTTCTGACTGGGGCTCCTTTATGCTTAATTGAAGGAAAAGTATTTTGGAAAGAGGGGTAAACAAACTCAATAGCAGACTTGTAGATTCAGTTGGGAAATAAATGGACAGAATCATATAGTGAGCATGTCATGGACCACAAGGAAAATTAAATAGAGGAATGTAGAAGGAATTGTAAGATGTTCATTCATTTAAAATACGAAACAACAACTGGTATAACATACTGGTAATTTTTACTTCCAAAGATCACATACCACTGTTTCTGGGTTTCCAGTGACCTCAAAGCAGAAGTCTACTCCACCATTCATCATATCAAATAAGACTTTCTGAATGGGTTTCTCAAAGTCTCGAGGGTCTATGCACTCAGTGGCACCCACTGTCTTGGCCTTTGCAAACCTGTCTTTGTTGGTGTCTACACCGATGATCCTGGCTGCTCCAGCTGTTTTACAGCCAATGATGACAGACAGACCGACACCTCCAAGGCCAAACACAGCACAGGTGGAGCCTGGGGTCACCTGGACACAAAGGCAAAGGAACAAGAACATAAACTTTTCCTTCTGGGTAGAGAGTGATGTCAAGTCTCATGTTAGGAAGAAAGCTTCTACCAGTGAACTGCTCCACAGTCCTCTGTGTCCTCATTGACTTGGGGAGGACAAGACAGTTGCTTTTTATGAGACAGGAGGACAGGACATTTTCAAGTAAAATACATCTAGAAAATTTTAGTTTCTCAGGCTGTTTCTAGGTGTGTGATACTTTAACCACAGGAACAAAAACCTACCTACAAGGACAGTTTCAAGTTCCAGGATGGAATTAGCATGAATGGAAGTAATGTAATGAAATTTCACTGAATCTTAAGATTCATTTGGATAAAGTATTTCTTTAATTATAAACAGTTTTTAATTATTTCAAATACCTCCATCTTCTTGCAGACTTCCCTTTCTCTTTTCCACTGAAAACTCCAAGTCATTTCAGAGCCACTGCTCATGGAGGTTTCCTTTCCTTTCCTTTCCTTTCCTTTCCTTTCCTTTCCTTTCCTTTCCTTTCCTTTCCTTTCCTTTCCTTTCCTTTCCTTTCCTTTCCTTTCCTGTCCTGTCCTGTCCTGTCCTGTCCTGTCCTGTCCTGTCCTGTCCTGTCCTTTCCTTTCCTGTCCTGTCCTGTCCTTTCCTTTCCTTCATTCCCTTCTCCTTCCTTCCTTCCTTCCTTCCTTCCTTCCTTCCTTCCTTCCTTCCTTCCTTCCTTTGCAGCATGTACTGTAGCACCAATTTAAATTGAACCCCTTCCAACCTGGTATAGTTTGCATCTTGCATTGAACATGCTCTAAAGACACATGTGATAAAGGCCTACTCCTCAGCCCTTGACAATATAAGTAAGTAGCAGAAGGAGCCCAGTGGAAGGAAAACATCATGGGCATATTCCCTCAGGGGACTTGAGGACACCAGCCCTCCTTTCTTTTTGTCTCCCATTTAAAATCTTTCTGATTCTGGGTACCATGAGATGATCATCTTTGTCCCACTCTGCATTCCATGTCCTGACTTACTGCCCCAAGATATCTCCCAAGACCACATCACAGGCTAAAATCTCTGAGGTAGTGAGCTAAAACAAACCTTCCTTCTTTGCAATGTGATTATTATGGGGATCTTGTCATAGACACAAAGCTGACTAAGACATATCCCATCTCTGTGTGTAACCCTGAGACTAAAGGACAGTGGACAATGCAAAGACTTAAATGTCAAAAGCCCCTTAAAAAATTGAGATGGGATGGTTAGCATGATATTCCAAAGCAGTTTATCTGTAGCCCATTTGATCAGAATGAAATTCCCTGGCCAGTGTAATCACCTCTCTATTGGTTCTCTTATACTTTTAAATTTTTATTTGTTGTGATGGTTTGAAAGAAAATGGTCCCCAAAGGAAGTGGTACTATTAGGAGGTATGGCCTTGTTGGAGTGGGTGTGTCTTGTTGGAGGAAGTGTGTCACTGTGGGGCATGGGCTATGAGGCTTTGCTGTTTCATATAGCTCATATATACCATCTCCAGTGAGACGGTATGTCCTGTTGTTTGTGGGTATAGATGGAAGAACTCTCAGTTTCTTCTCCAGCACCACGTCTTCCTGTGTGCTGCTTTGCTTCATACCATGATGACAATGTACCTAACCTGTTGAACTATAGGCAAGCCACCCCAATTAAATATTTTCTTTCATAAGAGTTACCTTGGGGCCTGGAGAGATGGCTCAGCCATTAAAGGCTAGGCTCACAGCCCAAAATATAAGAGTTGTTTCGGACATGGTGTCTCTTCACAGCAATAGAAACCTTAACTAAGACATTTGGTATACTTAGATTGAATCCAGGGCCTTGTGCACACTAGGTTGCAGACTATGTTCTGTCCTTGAAGTACATTTTCAGTCTCTCCCTTTCTCTTTTTAACATTTACTACTAAGTGACATACTATTAAATTAGAATGTAAACTTGATGAGTTTTTAGCAGCAGCATAGTGAAAACTTTTACCATTGTTTGTTAAATTAAACAAACTGGAATATGGAAAGATATAGTCATATTATAATTGTGTCGTATTTAAAGCCTGTATACCTATAGTCATAGATGGCAGGAAGTGCATGGGGAGGCAATCAAATAATTTAAGAAACTTAACAGTGCTTAGAGGTAAGTCTGTTTGCTTTTGCAGGTAGATTACCAGGTGGTATCCCGATGTGAGAGGGGTTTCACCTCCTTATCCTATTAGTTCTATTTAAAAATGGGTGCAAATGCCCCTCACCTTGGCAGAGTTGATTGCAGCACCGAAGCCAGTGGCAAATCCACAGCCAATTATGCACACCTTCTCCAGAAGAGCACCTTCGTCAATCTTGGCGACTGAGATTTCCTTTATGACTATGTATTCAGAGAAGGTGCCTGTAGTAATATATTGATACACTATCTTCCCTTTGCAGGTAATTCTGCTGTTGCCTTCAGACGTCAGATGTGTTCCTGACAGTCTTTAGAGGTGAAAGGAAACAAACTTTATGTTGCATTAAAAAGTTGAAATCTCTTCCAGTAAAACTGAATTAGACATTCAAAAAGATAGTTATGATGACTTACCTAACTTCTTTACAAATATTGTTCTTGGAATTGAGGCAGGTGTTACATTCTCCACATTGTGGTAAGCATAAGATGATGACTTTATCACCTAAAAAGCAAAGTAATTGATCAGGGTGCTGGTGTTGAGAAGTCTGATTTCTTAGACCATCAATAGCAAGGCTCCAAAAAGATGTCATAATGAAGAACTGTTTCCATGTTTAATTGTGTTTGATCACAAACATGTTTTCAGCATCCTGTTCAGCCCCAGGCCATGGCTGAATCTCTAGAAGCTGGCCCCATATTTGGAATACCCAGGCAAAGACTTTCATTGTGTGTCTTGTGGTGGTTTGAAAGAAAATGGCCCCCAAAGGGAGTGGCACTATTAGGAGGTGTGGCCTTATTGGAGTAGGTGTGGTCTCATTGGAGGAAGTGTGTCATTATGGAGGTGGGCTTTGAGGTCTCATGTGCTTCAGTTATGCCCAGTGAAACAGACCACTTTCTGTTGCCTGCAAATCAAGATAGGACACTGGGCTACTTCTCCAGCACCATGCCCGCCTGTATGTCACCATGTCGCACCATGATGATACTAGACTAAACCCCTGAAAGCTACACCAATCAAATGTTTTTCCTTTTTAAGAGTTGCTGTAGTCATGGTGTCTCTTCACATCGTAAGAAACGCTAAGACAGCATTCAACTACATCTTATGTACTCTACATTAACTTCCACTGTGGGACTACAGTCAAAATAGATACAGTGCTCAAAGAATGAGGCTCAGGATTGGGGAAAGATTGCCAACAAGTCGTATTCTGAGTTGTCCTTCATCTCTCTCTTTGTGGCTTGGAGAACAAACATATTCCTATTTTTAAATTGCTTTTTAGGAGGAGAAGATCACAATGTCTTGCTTGGGACCAGTTTATTGACTGATTCATTGTATGATACTGCCAAGTATAGAAATTTATTGTAAATTTTAATTTAAAGGCTTTGTTAGAATTTAGGCTCTTCTACTTTGATTTTAGGTTTAGCAGTTCAAAGACTTCTACAGTGAAAACTTCAAAGCTGAGAAGAAAGAAATTGAGGAGGGCATTAAAAAAGGGAAGAGACTCCCATGCTCATGGATTAGCAGATTGATATTGTGAAAGTTGCCGTTGTATAAAATTTACAGATTCATGTAATCCCTATGAATATTCCCATAACATCCTTCACAGAAATAGAACAACAACAACAAAAACCCCTAAAATATATATGGAAGTTCCAGGATAGCCTAAGCAATCCTGACCAAAAAGAACAATGCTGTATAAATTATCATACCATATTTAAGTTTGTATTACAGAGCTATAATACTAGCAAAAATCAGACAGGTAGGTCAGTCGAACAGAATAGAAGACCCAAACATAAGTGCATATACTTATAGCCATTTGATAGGTGGCAAAACTACACTGGGGAAAAACAATTGCTTCCACATATAGTGATGAGAAAACTGGATATCTATATACAGAAGATTGAAATTAGACCAATATCTATTACTCCTCAAAGGGTGGGGGGAGAAAAAAAAAACTCCAAATGGATCAGAGACTTCAACGTGAAATCTGCAATGCTGAAACTTCTAGAAGTAAACTTAGGGAGTGCTCTACAAGATATCAGTGTAGGAAAGGAATTTCTGAATAGGCCTACACTTGCTCAGCAATTAAGGCCAAGAATTGACAAATGGGGCCTCATAAAACCAAAAGGCTTCTGTATAACAAAGAGAACCATCAATTGAGTGAAGAGGAAGCCCAGAGTGAGAAAGAGTTTTTGCCAGATTTATATTTAATAGAAATTTAATATCCAGAATAGACAAAGATCTCAAAGAACAAAGGATCAAGGAAATAATCCAATTTGAAAAGAGGGGCCAATGACCTAGACAGAGAGTTCTTAGAAGTGAAAATGGCCAAGAAATATCTAAAAAATTGGTCAACAATCTTAGAAATGAGGGAAATGCAAATTAAAACCACTTTGAAACTTCATCTTATCCTAGTCAGAATAGCTTAGGATCAAGAAAACAATGGGCAACAAATGTTGGCGAAGATGTCTGCAGAGGTGACACCTTAGTCACTGTTGGTGGCATTGCACACTAGAATCCACTCTGGATTTGTAGCCATTCTTCAAATTAGCATGCAGAATTATATTTTAAAAAACCCTCAAAATTTGTTTATTGTATGACCCAGCTAGGTCTTCATTATAAGCCCAAAGAACTCAATATTCTACTCCACAGATAATGCTGAGCTATATGAATTGCCCCCATATGGAGAGCAGTGACAAAATGAAAATTGCCTATATGTTCTTCAGGTGATGCAAATATAATAAAATCACGATCCTGATACTCAATGGTATTGTTTTCAACTGCAAAGAAAATGAATTCATACAATTTACAGGAAACTGGATGGAGCTGGAGAATATTGTGGATAAGGTAATCTAGAAAGACAAATGCCAATGTTGTCTTATGTTTGTGAATTTATAATTTGTATTTGAATATAAATCTTGGAGTAACCTCAGAAGTCAGGAAAGCAAAAGGAACCATGGGCAATGAAGAGAGGCGTTCTAGAGAGGAGGCTATAGGACAAAGATGCTATGAAGGAGGAAAGGGAAGAAATGGGGGGTAAGGACTAAACTGGGGAGGGAAAAGTAGGGTAGTACAAGGGAGAAAGAACGAGGAAAGATGAATAACACTAAAAATATTTTTGAAAAGACACGATGAAACATTATTTTATGAGCTTAAAAATGAACACATAGGCCCTTGGCTCTGCTGGGCCCACTGCTTGGGGTGAGCTTTGGGCCAGAGAGCAGATCCAATATTACTTCCACCTCCTTGGAAATTCCTGGGTTGGTTCTGAGCATACTGGATCTGCCCTATCCACCTGGGACCACTTTGAGGCTGCCCTCATCTGATCTTTGGGCCCCATCGTCTGCCCTCTGCCAGAGACCTCCAAGAGAGCTGGGATCATCCAGACTTACAGACATCAAACTCCTGACCCACCTACACCCACCAGGAGTGCAGGGTAGAGAGAGAGACAGACTCCACCTGCACTTTTGTGAAGAAGCAATGGGAAGACGGCAATACAAGAAAACACACAACAATAGAAAGACCAGAATCTAGAAACTCTACACCAACTAGACCTGAACACACCAAAGCAGATGAAGCAGAAGAGAATGACTTAAAAAATAATTTCATAAAAATAATAGAGGCCCTCAAAGATGATATGAGAAAGTGCCTTAAAGAAATGAAAGAAGAAACAAAAACTTAGAAGAAATAGAGGAAAAGTAGAGGAAAAGACCAAGCCCCCCCCCATGCAGAAAAGAACAAATCTCTTAAAGAAAGTAAGGAAAGCCAAGAAAAAAACAATCAAACAGATGAAGGAAACAATTCAAACAGTTCAAGAACTGAAAACTGAAATAGAGACAATAAAGAAAACACAAACTGAGGGAATGCTGGAAATAGAAAAACTGGGTAAACGATCAGGAACTACAGATGCAAGCATAACCAAGAAAATACAAGAGATTGAAGAGAGAATCTCAGGTATTGAAGATAAACTAGAGGAAATAGATTCATTGACCAAAGAAAACATTACATCCAACAAATACTTAATACAAAACATCAAGGAAATATGGGACAATGTGAAAAGCCCAAAGCTGAGAATAATAGGCATAGAAGGCAAAAAGCCCAGCTCAAAAGTGCAGAAAACATATTCAACAAAATCATTGAAGAAAACTTTCTCAATCTAAAGAAGGACATGCCTATGAAAATACAAGAAGCATACCGAACACCAAATAGACTGGACCAAAGAAAAAGACCCCTCGAGACATAATAATTAAAACACCTAACATATAGAATAAAGAAAGAATATTAAGAGCAGCGAAGGGAAAAGGCCAGGTAACATATAAAGGAAGACCTATCAAAATTACACCTAACTTTTCCATGGAAACTCTCAAAGTCAGAAGGATCTGGATACATGTTCTACAGATACTAAGAGTCCACAGACGCCAGCTATAATACCCAGCAAATCTCTCAATCATTATAGATGGAGAAAAGAAGATATTCAATGACAAAGCCAGATTTTTCACAATACATATCCACAAATCCAGCCCTACAAAAAGTTCTGGAAGGAAAACTTTAACCCAAGGAAGGTAACTACACTCACAAACACATAGGCAATAGATAATCCCACTTTACCAGAACCCAAAAGAAAAAGCAGGGCAAATATACTCACAATACCACCACCAACAACCAATCTAAAACAAACAAACAAGACTTAACAATCAATGGTCCTTACTTTCCCTCAACATTAATGGTTTTCACTCACCTATAAAAAGACACAGGCTAACAGAATGGATATGAAGACAGAATCCATCTTCTGTGTACAAGAAACAGATCTAAGCCTCAAAGACAGACATTACCTCAGGGTAAAGGGTTGGGAAAAGATCTTCCAATCAAATAGATCCAAGAAGTAAGCAGGTGTAGCTATCCTAATATCTAACAAGTTAGACTTCAAACCAAAATCAAGCAAAAGAGATGAAGGTAATTTCATATTCATCATAGTAGAAATCCATCAGTACAAAGTCTCAATTCTGAACATCTGTGCTCCAAATACAAAGGCACCCACATTTATAAAAGAAATGCTACTACAACTCAAAGCTCACATAAAATCTCACACACTCATAGTGGGAGACTTTAACATCCCACTCTCACCACTAGACAGGACCACCAGACAGAAACTTAACAAAGAAACAAACGAACTAACAGAAGTTATGTCCCAATTGGATTTAACAGACATCTATTCCATCCAAACACAAAAGAATATACCTTCTTCTCAGTTCCACATAGAACCTTTTCTAAAATTAACCACATACTAGGCAACACAAGAAACCTCAAAAGATACAAAAATTGCAAGTGTTCCCTATATCTTATCAGATCACCATGCTTTAAAGTTGGAATTCAACAACAACACAAATTGCAGAAACCCTACAAACTCATGGAAACTCATGGTGCAATTGCACCATTCCTGTGTCAAGGAAGAAATAAAGAAAGAAATTAAAGACTTCCTAGAATTCAATGAGAATGAAGACACAACGTACCTGAACTTATGAACATTTTGAAAACAGTGCTACAAGGAAAGTTCATTGCACTAAGTGCCCATAGGAAGAAAACAGAGGATAGTCACAATAGAGAACTAATAGCACAACTGAAAACTCTAGAATAAAAAGAAGCAAACTCACCACTGAAGAGTACATGCCAGTAAATAAACAATGTGAGGGATGAAATCAATAAAGTAGAAGCTAGGAAAACAATACAAAGAATCAATGTAACAAAGAATTGGTTTTTCGAGAAAATCAACTATACAGAAAAAAACCTTTATCCAAACTAACCAAAAAGCAGAGAGAGAACATGCAAATCAACAAAATCAGAAATGAAAAGAGGAACATGACAACAGACACTGAAGAAATCCAGAGAATTTTCAGTGGAACCAGGAGGTATCCCTGGTTCACAGAAGGACTTTGGGAGCACATTCCCCATGGAGGATGCTTTCTTAGCCTAGAGACACAAGTAAGGGCCTATGCCCTACTCCAAGTGACTTGACAGATTTTGTTGATGCCTCCTGGAAGGCATCACCCTCCCTGTGTAGTGTGGCATGGAATGGGATGGGAAGGGGGGGGTTGGAAGACATGGGAGGGAGAAGGAATTGGGATTGATATGTAAAATAAGAAAAAATAGTAAGTGTTTCAAAAGGTTAAAAATGCATTACCAATTGACCACAGATATGTACCCCAGAGAAATAAAAGCAAATGTGCATGGCAAAAAAGAAGAAAAAAAACCAACACATAATAAATACGTATATACACACACACTTATATACATATATGCACATATACACACAAATACATATCTATATGCAATTGATGCATATCTATACACACATCTAAATATGCATTTATACAGTTTATACATAACTATATGTATATCTATATAGCTATATACACTTACATATCTACACATTTATATGTACATATACACATAGCTATACAAACACCCACACACCCACACAAATGAGATTTCCAAACATCAGGTGATAGTGCTCCCTCCAGTAGCCACTGTCAAAATCCCAATGTCAGTGAATGTTGTTGGTCCAGGGGATCCAAGAGACCCAACCAAACAATATGGGCCATTGCCCTCACTTTATTTATATAATTCAGTAGTGTACCCCAGTTGACTCATTTCTTGTCATTGATGTCTCCTCACCTGTGTCTTCATTAGCTCTAGATTTGGTGCCTTCTGCTTCAAATTATAAATGTGAAGACTAAATCCCATTAGAATTGCCCTGTAATTTAGAGGCAGCTATGACCCCCCCACACCTGAGAAGTGAGTGGGCAGTGCTTCACGTTTCTTTTTGTTTGCTTCCTTATGACACATTTAAGGGATGCCCTTAAATTGGTTTTCTGCTGTGGGATCCCAAACCAGCCATTTCTCGATGCCCTTTGTTGCGTCTTACCCGTTTTCACTGTGCTTACTCCTTCTCCCACACTCTCGACTAGTCCAGTTCCTTCATGGCCCATAATGATGGGGCAAAACTGGGCAAGTTCTTCTGACCCCAGACTTTTTATATCCGTGCCACAGATTCCTGAGGCCACCATCTGCGTGGGAAGCAGAGAGCTGAGACTTATCTGTCATTGAAGGAGCTTTAGATCTGTTGCTCTGGGAAGGTTTCCAGTGCATTGGCTTCTATTCAGCTCTCATCATTGACCATTGTCAATAATTACTTATGAAAAGGAACCGTGTTTTTCTTCAACTGTTTTCCAAGATATAATGCCGACTCACAGTTTAATGGACTCAGAAGAGAAGCTGGGGAAGTACACTGTGGGCATTCTCCACCAATGCTATACATTATCATGGCCCAAACAACTCACTGAGGGAAGAATCTGTACTGAGCTATGGTTCCAGTGGTAGCTTTGAGTATGGAGGGGGGGGGGACATGGCAGCAGACAGCCAGAGCAAGAAATGGGAAGAACACATCTTTAACAAAAAAAAAAAAAAAAAAAAAAAAAACCAACCAACCAACCAACCAACCAACCAAACAAACAAACAAACAAAACCCACAAAAAAAAAAAAAAAAAAAAAAAAAAACCGTACCAGAGCGCATACAAGATGTAAGGTAAGGCTAGGAGCTCCCAAAAGCTGTCCCTGCTTCCTCTGGCAAGGCTGCATTTCTTCGTAACCCTTCACAAATAGCAATGTCAACTGAGTGCCAAGTGTTCACATACTTGGTTCTAAGGTGGGAGTCCAGTTGAAATCACCCCAGAGTAATGCTGAAGATCTCACCTGGCCCTTTCTTGAGGGTGGAATTGTAGAAGAAGACAACTAATTGTAGAATTAAAAGGTTGGGACATAAGACAGAAAAGAGTAACGTTACCTATTTAACTATAGTTTTAGTTTATTTTGCAAAATGCACTTAAAAGGTGTGTTAACAATTCCATTCCACTTTATTGTAAGTCACTGCTGTGTTGTGCTTGTGACCCAACTGTAGGAAGTGCATTGAAACCTCACGGACCCAGAATTGCACCAAACAACCTGTTTTTGTGTTCATTGTTTTCTTCTGGTTCTGACGCTGGAGCTGGCAATGTCCTGTTAATCTTCAGCAGATAGATTTTCTCCATTTATGTACCATTGGATAAGAATGGCTAACAGCACCACCCCTACACAGCCCTTCTACCGCTTGCCATCACCCACCTGGCTCTATATTTGGGCTCAAATACACAGGTGAGAGAGTCAACCTGTAGCTTGTCAGAAAATGGTTGGGTGTCTTGAGTCTAAAGTAGTTGTATGAGCTGTAACCTTGTTGGAGTATACTCGATAGGGATTGGTAAATACTGCCCACCGCACTCAGTAGAGAATAGATACTAGAGAAGGTTCCTTGAAAAGAAGGTATGGTTTGTGTAGGTAGGGTAACTTAGAACTATCTCCTCATAGCCTATCCATAAATAATACATGCTCTTAATGGAAATAATCTAATGACCTTGAGACACAAGTCAGATGAGCTGCATTCTAACTCTCTGGGAACCAGTTAGAGTCATCTGGGGATATGTGCCACCCCAAGCCTTCAGTCCATAACTTGAGAATCTCAGGGATGAGGTGCAGTTAGTGTTTTTCAAGCTCCTCAGTTATTCCAAGCATGTATTCAAGCTTGAAAAACACCATTGAATGAGTTTCCTTATTCTACTTAGTATGAATAAACACTAATTCTGCCTAACCTTTTCTAGACAGAAGAAAATGTAGTATTCTTTTTGAGGAGGGATTCTGAAAAGGATGAATAATTGCAGTAAACAGCTTTGGTTTGGTTTTGATGTGGAAATGTGGATTTTGTGTTACCTTTACTCGAACTTCCTTTGCCTTTGGTGGGGCCACTTCTATTTCCTCAATGTTCAGTGGGGCCCCAGGCTTCCAGAGTACAGCAGCTTTGCATCTGATCACCTGGTATAGCAGATGAGGGGAGAAAGGGAGACATAGTAGTCTGAAAGGTGGGAGATTCTTATATTAGTCATTACTAGAAAGTACTTAATTCGACTATACTCAAGAGGAAAATAGAAAAATGGGAAAATCTAAATATATACTGAAATTGGTGAACTCTTACATCAGTATAGTTTTTCGTGTGCTTTTAGCTTCTATTTTTAAATTGGTCTAACAAATAGCACATATTTATAGGAAAGCACAATATGAAAGATGGGTAGTTCTATCTATCTATCTATCCATCCATCATACATCTATCTGTCTATCATCTCTATCTCTCTGAAACACAGTTTTGCTATGTATCCCAGGCTGTCCTTGAACTTGTGATCCCCTGCCTCCACCTCCTCGAGCTGCCATTACAGGCACATGCCACCACTCCTGGTTAGATGCCATGCATTTGCTTTTATTATGAATGAAATTGCCCATGAGTTACCCCAGGTTTTTGATGCTATTACAGTGTGGGGTTTCTTATGATCCCAGGCATGAGGGATCTTGGAGTAAAGCAGTGAGTTCTGGAGCAAGAGTGAAGACCATCTGGTGGTGACAATCAGTAAACGATAATGTAATCATTGGAGATTGGTGTGAAGAGTTTGCCAATGCAACGTCAGTTCTTAGGGTTCTGCTATTAGCCCATTATCCTTACTATAAATTATCTTCCATTTTTATGTGTTCAGTCACTACTTTTATGTAGATGATTTTTACAAACTACCTGTGGGGCAAATTTCTCTCAAGGATTTAGACAACATTTGTATGCTGTTGGAATATCTTCCGTGTACTGCAAACTCAACATTTTTAAATACAAACAAGCAATTCTTTCTCACATCTGTACCCTAGAGGACACAGTACACAATCTGCTTTCCCTGTTTCTAAAATGAAATCCAATCATTCATTCAAGACAGAAACCTGGCAAGTAGCCTTAATTTCTCTCTGTCCTTTGTTATTCACAGACATTTTCTGGAATCCTTTCTTGCCACCTCCCTGTGAGGTCAGGACCCTTACAGTGTCTTTCACATGAACCACTGGGAAAGCTTTCTTCTCCACTGGCTGGTGTTATCATCTTCAGATGCACCCTCCATGTCACTGCATCACCATCTCCCAGGCTAATGCACTAGAAGTGATTCTTCTGACAATGACTTAACAGCATCCATTGACATCACAGTCTTCTCCTTGTCTCTCTGCCTACCTACTTCCTGTCCTTTCTGCCTCAGCCTTGTCTTCTTGGAGACGATCAAACGGGAGGTGTTTTGTCCCGTTCCTTCTTCCCCTGTGGTTTCACTTGATTACCGTCTTGTCCTCTATCACCTGGCGAGTCTCTATTTCTCAGGTCAGTTTCTCCCTTGGTGCCACCTGCTCTGGGAAGCCAGTGTTGGCTTGACATTTTCTTGGGCTGCCATCTTCCAGATCTCTTTTGCAGTCCTTATACCCCTTTAGCTAACTGTCTGTGCCTGTGAGGAGTCCTTAGGAAGGGCTTTGTCTTTGAATGGGGAAATCTGAAATAGAGCTTGTATGCTCCTTACTGCAGTGACGATAAAACCAAGAAGGGACAAGCAGATGACTGAAGTAAGAGGGAAGGGAAAGGGGCAGATGTGAAGGTCAGGTGTCCTGCAGGGACCTAGGGAACTGACACAACCCTGGCATGGCACACAGCGAGAGGCGACACCTGCCTTGCCTGCAGTGCTCATGGTGGCTTCCTCTGTTCTTGTTATAGATGGGACTATCTGGTGCCAGGAGGTTCTGGTGGCGATATTTTCACTGTGGAAACAGTGAGTGTGTCGGTCTGTGAGCACTGGCAGCTCGTGGGTCAGGGATCTGAGCTTTCTATATAGTCAAGTCAGATAATTATTAAACCATATCCTGTCAAATCTCGGGAAATGTGTACTTTCTTGTTACTTGAAGGAGACTCCTGTGAACCTATGTGGTTGGTTTCCTCAGGCAAAGATCACAGAAGGTGAAATTGAATAGTCTCCCAGGATGGTCTCTTTTTAGTATCTAGTCTGTTGAGATTTTAACTTGAACTTTGAAATGTCCATGTTTTAAAATTCTGTATCCATAAAATGATTTTTTTTGTTATGTAGAGACAATTACCTTGCCTCAAGACAAGCAACCTTGGATTTCTGAACACAGTTGCAGCTGGGTATGGGGATGATTAGACAGTTTCTCTAGCAGTTTTATGTGGATCCTCAGAGGAAATAAACCATCCTGTGTAAGGGGCCTAACAACTAGAGTCATGCAATGAAATGTACATCTTTGTGTACGCTGGCTGTTTTGATTGAGATTCAAGGATCTTCATGAAGTCTAGAGATGAACATATTCCCAGTAAGAGGCTACTCAGTGCTTTTCTCTCACAACTGTGTGATCATATGATTTTCCTTAGTTATGTTTTTAATGTATGTTATATTGATTGTTACTTATTGTATTTGTTGCATGTTTGAAACAAATCCTACTTGGATTAGTTTCTTTTATACAAAAGGGACTATGAATAACTCTATAATATTGTTGAATCCACTTTGCTCATGTTTGGCTACACATTTTTATGTTTACAGTCATGAGAGATGCTTGTCTTGCTTGCTTTTATACTTTTTTGCTTTATTATGTGTTTGGTTTTAGTGTCATAGTAATATTGATTTTATGGGTACAAAAAAAGAGGACATAGCTAATATCCACTTCTTGAGTTTTAAAGATTGAAACAAAAACTGTAATCTAGAATTGATTGGTATCTTTTTTTTTTTAACTGACAGACACAACATACCTGATCCAAGACCCCTTTAACATTTTTTGGAGGCTCTTCTGGCATTTTTTTCCTAAGGCCCACTGACTCATATATGTGAGTATAAATCAGACCAAATGCTGGAAGGATAGGAAGGCGTGACTGTTGAGTTGCCGGCTCCTTCCCCTCATCCTAGAATGGGGCTGGTAATTTACCTCCCTTCTCTAACAAGGAGCGTTCCCTCCAGTCTTCTGACTCTCCAGGAAGCCAGTTAAACAAGCTGGTGACCAGAGACTTGTGAACAGATAGTAAAACTGCACTATTAACCTAAGGCCTGGAAATTTTCTTTTTAAAGCAATTTTATTAAACAACTTTGTTTCCCATCCTTGTCTCTTCTGCAGGCTTGACTGTGAGACCTGCTAACTACTGTTTGAACTAATACTATATTGTGGTTAAATCTCCTTTGCCTCCCTCTTTAGTCACTATATAAGAGAGATATAATTATATGTACCCTGACAGCTATGTAGGACCCTGCTTCAGTGGCGGAGACCATGCAATTCCTGCCTCTATTTCTTTATTTTGCAATTTGGGCTCTACCTGTGGAGCTCATAGGTACCATCTCTTCTCATATCCATGCTAACCTAACTAAAATGCCTTTTGAAAGAAAAGTGTGTCATATCCCACAGTTCATTTGTGAGATATGTGGGTCACACAGGGACTTGTGCCCGATGGGAGATGGGTGCTTCATACCAGAGACCCGAGGTCACCTGATCAGAAAGCAAGCATTGTTTGCTGCCATTTTGGCTGGTGATGTCATCCAGATGGAAGCAACCATGTGACTTGACCTCATCTTGCTAATGTTATCATAAAGAAGGCAAATGCTCTGTGACTTCATTACCATCTTGGTTAATGTAATCATGTGGTCTAAGCCAAAGCGGTGATACCTATACAACTTCCTGGTTCCATTAAACCCTCTGGTAATCATAGTATCTATTTTTTTAATTAAAAAATTTTTATTATGTATTAGACATTTAGAACTCAGAAGGGGACAGCATTAGGTTGTTTCTTTCTCCTTCCTTTGTTACAATAACTGGAAGGCAAAAGTAAGAACTAGGGTGCCCAGAATTCCATAGGGCTGAAACAGAAGAAAACATGGGAGAAACAAAGGAGGACTGAGGTGGGAAGGACACTCAGTCTCAGAGGTAAGTGGGCCCGGAGATACCAGGCACAAAGAGCCCATGTGTCATGTTCAGTGCAGGTGGACAGTATGGGTAAACAAAGGAGGACTGAGGTGGGAAGGACACTCTGTCTCAGAGGTAAGTGGGCCCGGAGATGCCAGGCACAAAGAGCCCATGTGTCATGTTCAGTGCAGGTGGACAGTATGGGTAAACCTGAGTGACATCCAGATCCCACAAGCCAGAATCACAGCCAACCACCAGCAGCTAACTGGTAACCTAAAAGAGGAAGATCTTTTTGTACGGGATTGTGACACAGTGTCCCAGGGACATCACTTGGTTGTCCTGAATCATTTTTCAAGCCTGAGTTTGACAACAGGACATGTGGCAATCTCCTTTAATCACTGACCATGAACGGTCAGAGTGCAGAACATGACAGCTGTGAGGGCTGCTCTTTCCAGAGACAGTGCTCTATGCTTGGTAAATACAGCTTTTTACAGATTTGGCCTCAATACTTAAGAATATAGGACTGTTTTCTTTTACCCTGCAGATGGACACTGAAGGGTTGAAGTAAGTTAAGTAAGTTAAGGTCTTGTCTTTTGTCTGTGCAATGTCAGGAATAGAATCATTAGTGAGAATGCTGTGCAAATAATCTCTCTTATGTACTCTGTCTGAGAAGTGTAGTTCCTTGAACTGTTAAAAAAAATGAATCATTTTAATTCTGGTTAATCTCTTTATTTTGGATATTTAAGACCATGTAGGTGGCCAAAATTAACCATTTTCTTTTTCCTGCCAAAGGCAGTGGAAGATTTGGTCCTCAGGCATGACTTGGGCCTCCTACTCATCTAGTCTTTCTTTTGTCATTTAGTTCATTTATGTGAAGAGGAGTCAAATGTCTTGCTTGACCAATGTTTCACCAGGAAGTGTAGAGGCAATTTTTCCTGTGTTGAGCATCTTCTTGGCAGATTGGACACTGGTAAGAGACTACTCAGTTACATATTCAAGGCCTTCCAAGACAAGAGACCAGGTGACTCCCCACAGTACAGTACATTTTCAAAATGTATCACAGTCCCTTGGAACTTAGTTGACCTTGAAGGACAAGGGTGAAAATATCCTCTCTTTTAATCCTGTGACCACATCAGTGAACTTTCCAAGTGTAGTTATTGAACATCCAGAAGGTCAGTTGTACAAGTCTTTGTTATTAATTAATGTGTAATGTTACGGGGAAGTTTGGTTAGAAATTAAACTGTCGTCATTGGGTTAATGGGCATTTCTGCTACTGGGGACCTGTTAGAGGAGAAAGGCCCATTCTAAACCTACTAACCTGTGACCGTCTGAGATCTCCATATGGTAAAAAATGTGGGAAGTGAGAATTACACAGTCAGTTTATCAGTAGAATGTGAGTTAAATAAGAATTATTCTTTTTCTAAGAATTGAGTAAAAGTGTATGAAAAGAAACTAAACATCTAAGATTTTGCATTTCTACATTAATCTTTTTCATTCCACATTACATTTTAAATTTCAAGTATAAGTAAAATTGAAAGAAAGTCTATAACCCTTTGTCCTCAATACTACCTCTGTACTGTTAATATAAATTTCTTTGATCATTTGAACACCTACTTCTTAGTTGCTTTTTGAAATATTTGATTATGGTTTAAGTTGTTACTGTTTTGTTTTTGTTTTTTTTTGAGTCAGGGTTTCTCTGTGTAACAGTCCTGGCTATCCTGCATCTCACTTTGTAGATCAGGCTGGCTTTAAATTCACAGACAACCACTTGCCTCTGCCTCCCGAGAAGTGGGATTAAAGGTGTGCATAACCACTGCCCAGCTAAATTGTTACTTTTTATGTTACAAACATAATATACATTCATTACAAGAAACTTCAAAATACAAGTAAAAAGAAAATCCATCTTTACTTTTACCGCTTTTTTTCTCCTTATGTTGAAAAGCCTTTGGGTGTCCTCTGTGAAGTCATATACATAGCATTTTGCAATCTACTTTGTTCAATTCTTTCCCATGCTTTAAATTTCTCTACTTTGATAGTTAGAGTGTAGGTAATTTATTTTCTTTCTGCTGGCCCCCCCATTTAAATAACATGTGAGTACTTTAGTAGACACTTAAGCAAATGCAGAGTTGTTTTCCTTAGAACACATTTCTAGCTTATGAACTACTCCAGTCCCTTTAGTTGATTTTAAATCGCTGTGCCTTGAGTTTAGCCCAGAAGGAAGCATCTTCAGCCAACGTGTAAAGACACAACAGAAACAGATGCAGATGTAGGTTGCTTACTTACTTTTCCCTTGGTGCCCATTTTCCTTGCTTGGGAAGCTTGCTTTGGAAGTGTCTTTCTGACTGGCCTTTCACCTCTACCCAGAATGCTCTGTGTCCTGTGCTGAAAACTCTGAGTAAATAGCATTCCTGTTGGCTGCTTCTCCTATCACAACCCTGCCTGACTCCTGTGACATTTGTCCTGTCATAGTCATCCACAAACCCATTGCTCCCAGCTGACACCAAGAGATTTTTTAAAAATTAGCTCTTTTCTTATCTTTTATTACGATATATTGAATAGAGAAAGTGCATTAATTATATAAGGCTCAGTAACAAATGACTACTAAGTAGAGGTATTTCAATTGTTCTGCAAACTTCCCTTTTACCATTTCTTTTCTTTTATACTCTGATAATTTCCTGGCACATTTGTGGTTTTGCTACTTATTTATGCTTCTCTATCTAATAGTTTAGTGTATTAATAAGTGTGCAAATAGACTCATAGTGTGTGTGCCCTTCTGTGTGATTCTCTCTTAGTTGTGTTTGTTAATCACATACAGTGCTTTTCATCATAGTTTATTTTCCTTACTGGTGAACATTCTACTGTATGAACCCATCATAATTCATGTATTCCCTTTCTCTATGCATGTTTTTCTAGTCATGGTGAGTTGGTGGCTACATGAAAGTTCTCTTCATGAGCCCTGCTGCACATGTGCTCATTTGCTTAGGGACATCCAGGATGGATGCAGACAGCATGTACTAACAGGGAGTCACTGACTGTTGGAAACTGAAACACCTTTATTATGGGTGCTAAGAAGACCCTGGCTCCAAGGCTGCTGAAGTCCCTCTGGCAGGGAGTTCTGTAGTCACTGTTGGGGAACAACTCTGTGGATGCAGGGGCCTGGCAAACAGTCCCAGTGGCTGTGGGTCTCACAGTGTCCTCCATAGACAGCAGTGTTGTAGCCCCTGGGGACCAGTGCCTAGCACCTGCCTGACCTGGGCCTGTGACTGCCGGTGTGGTGGGCCAGACACACCATGATGGAATGTCTCCAACTGACTACCAACTCAATTTTAAAAAAAGAATGGTATTTTATCTCTAAAATTTCAACCTTAGAACAATGCAAAAAATCATGTACCCATCACTCCAGATGGTGAGTGGAAGAGTTTGCCATCTCCCAAGTGCCTCCTGCTGTATCTTCTTTAAAGTTCTGCTCTACAGCTGACTAGTTTTCCATCTTCTGACTTCATCCCCATTGGCAACTCTCAGATGTGCACCTGTGATGGTCCAAGTGACTCAAGTTTACAAACTGGACCTATGAGTGACAGGATGTGGAGAGTCATGCTTACAGTCACCCGACTTAAATTTGATACTGTGGTGGTACATAAAGGCATGTACTTCTTTATGATCGTTGTGTCACTGACCACCATTGAGGATAGGCAGTTTGGTGTTCTAGAGTCAGATCACAGTGCTTACTCATTAATTAATGAGAGACTTGTAAAGATCATAGTTATTCAGTTTTCATTTCTTTTTTTAAAATTATTTATTTATTTTTATTTAATTTTATATAACAAAGTCCAATTAAATGAAAACAAACATTTATACACAATATTTGGGAATTTGGGCGTCGTTCTTTCCAAACTACTTCCTGCTGGTAAGGGGCGCTGTCTTGGGGGATTCGAAGAAGATTCAGATATCCTAGCTGTAGTCTGCAGGGCTGTTTTGTCCAGCTGTTTGGAATGTAGGATCAGCTTGTACTCTGTTTCAGGCGGTCTGGCGTGATCAAACCACATTAGTCTGGAAGGAATCCACATCTTTTCATTTTCTGTGGAAACAAAAATAGAAATACTTTTCCCCAGTAACTTGTTCTTCAACTTAAATTTTGGAGTCAAAGCGTTTTTTTTTTTTTTTTTTTTTTAATTTATTATTTTACATGTCGATCCCAGTTCCCTCTCACTCCCTCCCTCCTTCCCTCCCTTTTACCCTCTCTGCCCTCTCACATGCACTCTAAACACCCTCCCCTCCCAATCCCCCACCACAATACCATATGTAGGGGAATGCCATCCAGTTCATGTAGATCTGACAGGTCCTATGAAGTAGGGACTAGGGCTTCTCTCTTACCTCTAGAATAAGGCAGTTATCCCTCCATGGGGGATATGTTTGCAAAGTCCTTTTGTGCACCAGGGATACATCCTGGCTCC